TTCTGGGCTGGCTTGGAGCTTATAAATGTCCATTTGTAACATTTTTATGAGGAAATTTGTTGCACATACCGAGCCCTCAGCTCTTTAGTAATAACTTTTTCAAGTACCTATTAGTGCTCTGGCATGATTGATTGATTGATTGATTGATAGGTAGGTAGATAGATAGATAGATAGAAGCAGAATATTTTATACCATAAAATTAATATAAAGTGCAAATTATTTTAAATAAATTAACAAGCAGTGCTTAAAGATACTTCCTGTTAGAGATATTTAAATGGTGTTATGTTTCTCTAAAGTCAGGCAACTAAAGATTCTACTCTGTACCTTTTTGTCTTTTTATAGAAGTTAATTTTGCATTTTCTTATTTTTAGTATTATTTTTATGAGTATATCTTTGATGAACTCAGGCGAAGACCAAGACATGTGTGTCCGTATGCTGTTGTATCTTTTACTTACAAAGATGATATACAAACTCCGAAGTTTGTACCTTCATCAAGGTAAGACTCATGAGTTTTAGACATCATTCAGAATACTAATTTACATATCCTGCATGGCCTAGAACACTGTTTTCTTCCCATTTTTTTTCTTGCCTTGCAACTAATTAGGTGCAGTGTTTATGATGACTTGTAAAAGTAGAGTGTGAAAAATGTACTTTATATGCAACTAAAATTTACTTAAACCTCACCAGTTAACCCTTTTTTTCTTGATATTGAAGGTTTGCATAGTTGAGTAAAATGCAGCTTTTATTTATTTATTAAAAAAAATTTTTTTTTGATGTTTATTCATTTTTGAGAGAGAGAGGGAGACACAGAATCTGAAGCGGCTCCAGGCTCTGAGCTATCCGCCCAGAGCCCTATGCAGGGCTTAAACCCAGGAGCCGTGAGATCATGACTGAGCTGAAGTCAGACGCTTAACCAACTGAGCCACCCAGGTGCCCCTAAAATGCAGCTTTTAAAAAAAAGTGAAATTTTGTGTGTTAGCTCTCCTACAAATGAGGAGCTTCTACAAAAGATCCCCGATCCTACCTCAAACAAATTAAATCAAATGTGTATTAAGGAGCCTAGGCATTGGTAATTTTTTTTCAGTGTTTGTTTATTTTGAGAGACAGGAGGAGCAGAGAGAGAATCCCAAGCAGGCTGTGCTGTCAGTGCAGAGCTCAATGTGGGGCTCAATCTCACAAACCGTGAGATCATGACATAAGCTGAAATCAACGAACTTAGCCCTCCCTAGGCATTGGTAATTTTAAAAGCTTCCAGGTGATTCTGATTTTCAGTGAGTTGAGTACCACTGATGATTTCTTATAAGCTTTAATACAAAGTGACCAAATGCAAAGTAGTCTCCCTTATTGTTTCGCCCATGTGGTGATTCCAGAAAAAATGTTGGTAAAATTGAATAAGTAAATGTATAGGGATGTAGGTGAAATGGTCAAATGTCTGTTTAAAGTTATGTATGAGCCTTACTAATTTAGAAATACTGTTTTTAAAAAGCCACATATCATGAAACACATTTTTGAGGTCAACCTTTTCGTTGGTTTTCCAGATCAAATCATCTTGTCTTTCTTTAAGTTGTTTGAGATCCAGCACACTTATTTCATGTCACCAAATAGCCCTGGTAGCCATCCATCCATAGCCATAAGTAGCAGTTCATATGTTATCCAGACACTTGTGATTTTCATTTTTCTTGTGGCTCTGTGTTTATGATTTCCATGATAAATTTACAATAGGGCCTTTCGATAGTAATCTTTAAAAGACATCCACCACTTAGTAATTATGAGGTCATACCTCCAGGAATTGTAACTGTGTTAATTTTTTTTTTTTTTTGCCTCTTTGATTCTATCTTTTGGTCTCCATATCATTTAAAAATGAGCATTGTTTGAACACCTTTGCTATACCTCAAATGCTGCTATGAATCATTCTGCCTCAGGGCCTCTGCATTTACTGTTCTCTTTTCCCAATTAGCTACACTGTTTACACTAAAAACCTTTATCAGATCTCTCCTTAAAGGTGACTTTATCAGTGAGGCCTTTCATGATTTTTGTTTTTAACCCCATAACCTTATTGCTTTCTCTTTTTCTGGTTTGACTTAAAACCATCATCTGGTAAACTATATACTACTTTTGGTTGTTGCCTGGAATCTTCATGAGGTTGTAAACTCTATGAAGGCAGGGGCTTTGTTCATCCTGGTAATCCTGTTATCTAGAACTGTGCCTGGTAAATAATAGGAACTTGGTAAATATTTATTGAATGATAAATAAATACATTTAAGTGTATTTTGAGGCTATTTTTTCAAATCTTATCACCAAAACAAAGTAATTCACAGAGACTTTAATGGACTCTGTTTTCTCCTGATGACTATTTTTGGGGAAAATAGCTCCCATAAATTTGGACAGATATGGTAATTTGAGCCAAGTAAGTAATTGTTTTCTTCATATAGACTTGGATGTATTAAGTGTTGTAATAAGTAGTTCATATGTATTTCCCACTTGGATAAAAAGGATTTAATTTTTCTTGTACCTTATGCCATTAGAAACAGTGCTTATGTCAAGATCCTGAATATTAACTTTCTTGTTACCAATCAGTAATGTTTTCTTTTCTTTTTAAAACCTGTAGATCTAACAGTTTCAATGCAGATAGAAACACTGGTAAGATTCTTTTATTATTTTCCTTTAGTTTTATAAATTGGAAGAATACATAAAGTAAAAAAATTAGTGTTTTGCTTTATTTTTATAATGGACAAAAATCTGCAAAGTATGATAAAGGGGGTGAGGCCATGTTATGATATAGCATCAACATTTGGTTGTCCAAGCATAAGGTCTTCTTTAGAAGCTGCTGAAACTATGAGTAAACCAAAGGATTTTAGCACTTTGATAAAAGTAAACAAACAAGCTTTACAACTTAGATAATTAAAATACATTTATCAGAAGTTTAGGATTTAGAAGACACAGAAAAGATTAAAAGCAAAACTGACATTTTCTGTCATCAAGTTTCTCCACAATGAAAAGAAAGTGAGTAGAGAGGGTAGGAGATGCTGTGGGGATTTGTGATTTGTGTAGTTCACTGGATTTAATATAGTAAGATAGTCTCCTTTGGGTGAAATAAGAAGGCAGTAAATGCTTGGTCTTTGCTCTTCAACTGTCTGATATGAGGACATTTAGACAAATTTGTTAATTTTTTGCAGCTGGAATAATCCTGTAGGGGAAAAGATACCTGAAACAAAAATCCTATTATTTGAACTCTCTCCTAAATAGCAATGTCATGGGTGTTTTTTGTGTGATTTTTGTTTTTTGTTGTCATAGATGTTTTTCCCTTATTTGTAGTAAACATGTATTTGCTTCTGGGCTGCTAGAGGCTGAATTATATCATTCTTTTTATTTAGACAAATTTAACTACACCTTGTGGAAAGGACAGCTTTTAAATAAAGGAAAGCTTTTGTGTTATATTTCTCTGAGGTCAACCACTCGTGCTTTTTTGCCTATCAAGCTGTAAGTATGTTATAAGAAATAGCAATTAGCGGTTGCTCAATATAGTTTCTTCTTTTGCTTTTTATTCTTATATTTAAATTTTGCTTTGGTCCACAAGAACTTCAATATAAATGTCAATTTGTTTTAAAAGATTGATAACTTGGGAAACACAGTTGGCAAAATGGGCCCTCTGCTTTTCTATCTTGGTTTGAGAATGGGCTAAATAGTCATATACATTTATAGCATAAAAGTTTCTGAATGATTTTAAATTTTAAAAGTAATTTTTCAAAGTTTTATCCTAATTAGATATATTTGTCATTTAGCAATTTGAACATGGTAGACCTAAAAGTTATCAGTTCTTTGTTGGAAACCTCTTTGATGTGGTGAGGTAAGTTAAAATTTATAGACTGTTTTCAGTCCTGTGCAGCATATATTAGAATAGAATGGTCTAAAATGATCTTTTGCTACCACCCAAACATTATGGGCCTTCATTAAATGTTTGATGATTATGTTCAGGATTCATACTCAAATTGTCTTAATAAAAGGACAGCCTTTAATCCTTTGTGGTTAGGAAAATTGGTGTATAAGATTAGCTTCTGGCTTAAAAATGGAAGGTTGGTGATATTACCAGTCTTCCTATCTACTTCTCTATATATCTGGGCTTCCCATTTCCAATCCTCTTTAGAATCAAGTCTAATATTAATAGTATGTTGTGGGTGGAAAGGAGATAACATTGCTAGAGTTAAAAATATAGGTGAGGCAAACACACTTTTTCAATTTTCTTTCAGTCCCGAAAAGTTAGATGTTGAAACAGTTATGAGTATTGATCATCTGAAACAGAAAATCCCTCCGGCGCTGTTTTATAAGGAAACATACTTAGGTCCAAGTGAAGGTAAGTAATTTAATTTTATTAAAATATATAAGAAGCAGATTTGATTTGAATATTTACCTTGTATTTTTTCTTATGTCAGTTTTGAAGAATGGAATGTATTGCAGCCTTTATGAAGTTGTAGAAAAGACAAGAATTGGAAGTAACATGGAGAGTTTACTACAAAAACTAGAGAAAGAAAAACTTGTGAGTGAAAGGTTTTAAAATGTTCCTCATTCTCCCTTAGAAATAAGTGTTTGAATAAGTGATCATATTAATATTTCAATTTATTTCATTTTTGCCTCAGAGTACCATAGGGTCTCTGTCTTTGTTGATATTATTTAGTGAACCATTTTACTATGGCCTTTAGTAGTCGTCGTCGTTGTTTTTTTTTTTTTTAAAGCCATGACACTAGACCTTCTGCAAGTCTTCTCCATGAAGTATCTTTATTGTATTTTGTGATTGTGACAACAAATATTTATTGAATATTTTCTTATGCAGGGTGTATAATTCCAAAAGAATGAGATAAGGACTTTTCTGGATCATATACAGAGTGATAAATGGAGTTACTCAATATGGTTTGTTCTAGTAGGACTGTGCCATATTTGAAGAATCATCAGAACAATTGCTTGGTGAGGGTTGAAAGAGAAAGGAACACTAGAGTAGTTGGGGGAAGTGGTAGGACTTGAGACTAGAAAAGTTGTGGGGGTGGGGCCTGTGTCCTGCAGTGTTGTGTAGGCAGTGTTCAAATGTTTGGAATTTTGGGTGTGATCCTAAGAGCAGTTGGTTTTAAAGGGAGCACAGGATGTGTTTTTGATTGTGTATACAACATGATCAGATCCGTGTTTGGGAAATTTATTTGGTTACTCTGTAGAGAATAAAGAGGCGAGATGAGGCAGGAAAGTAGCATTACATTAGAGGGTGGTAGTGGGTTAGAGGAGAGAGGTAAGAACGATGATATAAGAAGAGACTGATTTAAGAGCTGTTTACTGGGGCGCCTGGGTGGTGCAGTCGGTTAAGCCTCCGACTTCAGCCAGGTCACGATCTCGCGGTCCGTGAGTTCGAGCCCCGCATCAGGCTCTGGGCTGATGGCTCGGAGCCTGGAGCCTGTTTCCGATTCTGTGTCTCCCTCTCTCTCTGCCCCTCCCCCGTTCATGCTCTGTCTCTCTCTGTCCCAAAAAAAATAAACGTTGAAAAAAAAAAAAAATTAAAAAAAAAAAAAGCTGTTTACTAGGTAGTATCCAATAATAGATACTGATTTTATTGAGTTTAGATTGAGGGTTTAGGTCAGGCATTAGTTGTGATGGGTTTAGGAAAGAACAAGATGAATACATGCTATTATGTGTAGTTCTGCTGAAGGAGAGGAGTTAGTTACAGAGAGGGGTTATTCCAAGGTTTCGGTTAACCTGAGATAGATGAGCTCACTTATAAATGTTGATGAGACATTTCAATAGGGGAAGAAGTTTTTTGCACAGGTATGCCATGTGATAAAAGCTTTTCAGCAGTTAACTTCTTTCTACTCATTTTATTGAGCCTCAATTTCCAGGTAGTCAAATGGAGGTTACTATCAGTGATTTTCAGAACGGACAACTGCATTTTTAATGGTTATGTAGAATTTTGTTGTATGCATATTTATTTTCTTAACCCATCCGTTGTTTAGAGTGGCAGAGTCAAATTGTGTACAAAATTTATAGGCAGAGTTTATACACTTATGAATTGGTGGACATCTAACAATAATTTTTTGACTAACCAGCTGGAGATCTTTGGAGTGGGCATCTTATAACACATACATATGGACAGATGCACATTCACCACATATGAATATACTCTTATATTTACATTTCTTGTTTTCTTCTGAAAGCTTGCCTAATACAACTATTCCTCACATCAAAATCTGTTTAATTCCTGAGTTGAGAAAGTGAAAGTTCAGATTGTAGGTTTGGGTATGGTGAGATACTGGGTTATCCAAATCTGTTCAGTTCTTGCATTTCAGAGAATGAGTATTGAGAATCTTGACAATGAGGAGTTTATCAGAAAATTACAGTATCTTCCATTCTAATAGTGAGACTCGGGATAGAAAGATACTGGTATCTTATTCTTCACCTGAGCAAGTACTATATTAGATTCTTAGAGGACTGGGTTTTCTCAGGGTTAAGAAATAGAGTAAGATCCTATGTCTCAGAGGGCATGAGCATTCTGCAGGGGTATACTACCTGAGTCTAACGGAGTTGAGATATTTTTGTATAGCTATCCCTTTTCCTGCAACCTCATTGGGAATTATTCTAACTATTGCTACTTTCTTCATAGTTCTAATGAAGATGGGAGATGCATTGGGGACTGTTGAATTCTCAATAGTTTTATCTTGAATATGCACACTAAATGTTCTGAATCAGAGATAGATTTAGTGAATACCTCACGGTAGTAAATATATTGGCCTTCCTTTGCCCCCTAGTCCTTAGCCTTAGGGCATCCCGAGGAAAGACAGGTCTGTTATCCTGTGCAGGTGGCTGGATATTCCACAGGCAAGGGATGAGAAAAAATTACTTTTCTTTGCTTATTAAGGGAAGAAGGCCACTGTCTCCCTCCCCTTCTGGGAAGTTCTCCTTGAAAATGTGATGAATAGGGGCGCCTGGGTGGCGCAGTCGGTTAAGCGTCCGACTTCAGCCAGGTCACGATCTCGCGGTCCGTGAGTTCGAGCCCCGCGTCGGGCTCTGGGCTGATGGCTCAGAGCCTGGAGCCTGTTTCCGATTCTGTGTCTCCCTCTCACTCTGCCCCTCCCCCCTTCATGCTCTGTCTCTCTCTGTCCCAAAAATAAATAAACGTTGAAAAAAAAAAAGAAAAAAAAAAAAAGAAAAAGAAAATGTGATGAATATTAACTCCAATACTGTGGTAAATAAATAAAATCTCTTCAGGATACATTCAGCCCTCTGGAACTTAAAACATAGGAACTAATCTGTGCTGTAACCTCTTGTTCCTCTTGTGTACCCACGTGGCACTCTCGGGGAGATAAGAGAAATTTAATTATCTTTTTGGATCAGAGCAGTTACTTAGATAATTGGCTATAAAGTATGTGAGGAGTAAAATATTTCTGGGGGAAGTGAATGCAAACATTTCCCTATCTGTATATTTACTTTTTTGTGCATCAGAAGGCTAGTTTTGGAGGACCACAGAGAAATTAGGGAAATTTTATTTCCTCACAAGGAGATTTGTAATATAAGTAAAATTATATTGAGCTTTCTTTTGGTTGGTGATAAGTTAGTAATTCTTAAAACTAACTTAATATAAAGGAAAATGATATATGTCACTAAATTTGAACGTTATTTCTGATGTGAACACTCTTCTGTATATCTCCCAGTGTGACATGTACAAAAATTTTTTCTCTTGGGTATATATCTAGTATATTAGATTTATTATCGATAAGTAGAATCATTGAATCATAATTCTACATGACTAGCTTTACAAGATAATGTCAAATTGTTTTAAATATCTGTACCAATTAAAAAAATATTTGTACCAATTTATATCCCTTACTACCAGCAAGTTCTCGTAAATTCACGGTTACTAGTATAGTCAGACTGTGGCATAATCTTGCCAGTATGGTAGGTATAAAATATATTGTACTGTGATTTTAGCCTGTATTTTCCTGAAATATGATGAGTTGATCATCCATTTATGAATGTATTTCTTTCCATATTCAGTTGCCTGTTGTTTGAGTGCTTTGTTTTTTTATTTTAATTTATTTTTTTTACTATTTTATTTCTTAAAATTTTTTAAATGTTTATTTTTGAGAGAGAGAGAGAGAGAGCGCGAGCGAGCAAGCAGGGGAGGGGCAGAGAGAGAGGGAGACACAGAATCCAAAGCTGGCTCCAGGCTCTGAGCTGTCAGCACAGAACCTGATGTGGGGCTCCAACCCACAACCCTTGAGATCATGACCTGAGCCAAAGTCAGATGCTTAACTGACTGAGCCACCCAGGTACCCCTGCCTTGTGTTTTCTTACTTATTAGAGGAATTTTTAATACATTTTTGGGTCCTAATACTGAGCTATGTGTGCTAGAATTTTTTTTTCATAATCTATGCTTGCCTTTTCACTTTATTCCTGGTGTTTTTTGAAGAACAGATACTCCTAACTTCAGTGTGTTTAAATTTATCTGCCTGAATGTTAAGCACTGTTTGTGACTTTAAGAAATCTTTCCTTACCCCCTAGATCTTACAGGTATTGCCCCTGTGTTTTCTTCTGAATATGTTATGATTTTGCCTTTGGCACCTAGGTCTTTAAATAAATAAATAGGTTTTTGCTTGTTTTGTTTTTGTGTGATATAATATAGGAATCCAATATTCATTTTTTTCCCCAATATGAATACCAAATTGTTCCTGAAACATTTCTCCACCGAGAAGCCTTGATATGAGGTAGAGTCAACTGCCTCTTTTGGGAACTGTTTTGCTATTTGAGATGGAACTTTTTTTCAAATATTTAAATATTAGCTTTGCTTTTTTCTTTCTTTAATTTTTTTTTTTTCATTTTAGAGAGAATCCTAAGCAGGCTCTGGGCTGATGTGGGATCCCATGACTCTGGGATCATGACATGAGCTGAAATCAGGAGTCTGTTGCTCAACTGAGTGAGCTCCTTAGGCTCCCCTCAGCTTTGCTTTATGCAAAAAAATGTTAGAATCAGATTTTAAGGTGCCTCCCCCCCCCAAAAAAAAAAGCCCTATTGAGATTTTTTTAATCTATAGATGAAATTTGAGAGAATTGATGTGTTTTATGTTACTGTCTTATCCATGAACAGGATTATCTCTTTACTCTTTTAGGGTATTCTTTTAGTAGAGCTTTATAATTTTCTGGGTACATGTCTTGCTTATTTTTTGTTTGGTTTATCCCCAGCCATTTAATTGTTTTTGGTGTGATTGTAAACAGTATTTTCCATTTCAGTACATTTTCTGTTCGTTGTGTATATAAAAATGTAATTGATATTTATGTATTAATTATATGTTAGATCAGAGTATGAAATTTGAATAATTTATTTTTTGTACATTGAGATTGCTATATAGATTTTATTATCTGGAAGCAACATTGGTTTTTTTTCCTTTCTAGTCTTCAAGCTTTGTATTTCTCTTTCTTGCATTAGTATTACTGTGTAATCTAGGATCTCCAGTACAATGTTGAATAAAAGTGGTAGTTGGAGGCATTCTCTGGTCTTTGATTTTAT